CGCCGATCAAACTTTAAAAACCCCACACATACATATTTTCGTGTACAGAACATAAAAACAGGAAGGGAGATCACCCAAGCGTGCTTGAAACCCTTTCTTGGCTTGCCGCACGTCAATGTCATAAGAAAATTGTTATTATACAAAATAAAAACATTATACAATATATGTATTATATTAATCTATGTCTTGTACATAATGTATCTCTGGTACATGGTAGTGTTCTCATATCATACTGAGCCACAGATGATACCGTTATCCATCCAAGTCTATGGCATTGAATTACCTACAGGATGTCTTTCGGATCATGAACAACCCCCTTTTGTAGTAGATTTTTTTTTGTATTTCTTCACCTTTCGAGATGCTTTGCGCCAAAACCCAACGGTTTTCGTCCCTGAACCTCTTCACAATATTCACGATCCGCGCCTGTGTGACAAATGATATTGCCGTGTAAATATTCGAGATATTAAAACATTTTATAACAATTGTTTCCTCTTTACTTGCAGGTTCATCTTACCCAGGACTCTTTATCATTATGATATTCTCATTAATTGTTTTCATTTAATAAACATTTTTTTTCAAATTAATTGTGTGTTATTTGTTTCTTTTTTCGTGTATGGGACACTTTCAAGTAACAAACCTGTCGCACACTAAGGATAACTAGATCTTGTTTTATGCAACACGTTCATACCTATCATGTAGTGTATATTCAAACTCTTTGACTTAATTTATGTTCCTCTCTTAAACCGCTTCGTCAAGAGCGAATTTATCATGAAGGCAAATATTAGTACATGTACGAAGCATTACATGCATAGATCTTCCGCTGTGATGGGTAATATTAATAATGGAAGGAATATGCATTTTACCGGTGAGGTGTGATTATTTAACTGGCCGAAATATTCCGTGTAGATACCGCGGATTTAATCGAAAGATTAAGAATACTACTGACAAAACCCCCACGTCTTTCGTTATAATCACTAAAACAGAAAGGAACACAATAAGTAATTGTGTGGGACTGGACCAAGATATTGATAAATAACATTTCAAACTGACAGCAAAATCTGAATTCGAACTGCAAATCAACAAGCATACTGAGTATTGCTTAAGCAATACATTTCCCCCACCGGCCCCCGCTACCTATTACACTGTAATGATTTATAAAAATGGTGCCCTTTAGTGTTAATTTGGGAAAATGAAAAGTATACAATTAGCTTGAAACTGATTTTAATGGAATAACAATACAAGAAATTGTAATGTTAGTATTATGACAGAGGAATTATATAAAATAAAATGATTGTTATATTTTGTTCTTTTTTGTGGTATTAAATCAATTACACGCAAGCTTGATCAAAATCCTCAAGGAATGAAGCCGCTAGAGCGCTGACAAGGATTTTCAAAAAATAGTAACGGTGAGCTTGACCTTGACCTAACAATCCTAAAATTCGAATTTTTCCGAGATATTATCGTCCGTTGTATTTTTGTGAAGTTTTTTTTCAAAATCCCTCAAGGAATGAAGCCGCTAGAGCGCTGACAAACATTGGTGTTACGTACGTACACAGACGGACGGAGAGGAAAACTATAGGCCCCCCTCCCCCGGTTTTACCGTTAGGTGACTAATAATACTAGGGCAACGTTATGGAAAAGGGAAATTACAAGGATAATAAGACAATGTGGTCTGAAACAAAGGACTAGACACTGCATTCAGAGTCTTGCATATCGCAATGAATATTTCCTCTGAACAGTAACCAACAGCACACATCAACTTTAATGGACGATTTAATGGAAAAAGAGCTTAATAATTATCCAGTGTTTTAAAAATACTACATAGTTTGATTCGCATTGTAATTTGTTACAAACAGAGGAGAACGCTTTCTGTGTTCTCGTGTGTATCACAATCCTGTTACAAGGATGAGGTTTCTTCTGTGATTTAACATCTAGTAAAATAAAACTTGTATTTGATATTTTAACCACTAAAATTTAGCCCTTGCTTTTAAAGCGAATTCCTCTTTTAACGATTTACATCAGTTTGTTCTTCACATAACGTTTCAGGGAAAGTGTCTTTTACTAGAAGCTGTATTTTTTGGTGTTTAATGTAATACCTATAATTTGTTATTGATACAAAAACCTTGTATCGTCAAAACACGAGAGGGACATTCTAGCCGATATCAAAAGACACCAAGAGGAATTGAGGAGCCAGGGGAAAAGTAAAGGTCCCATGAATCCCAACAAAATTAACATGAAACAAAATGTTTCCAGCATCACATTTTTGTGTGATTTTTCCCGTTTTGTCTCCCTTTAATTCAAGATACAAGCGATCATACCAAATAAGGATTTTATCTTACCATACACTGCTTGTTGATTTAAAGAAACTTCCTTGGCGCAGATTGGATGCAATCCTGGCATAACAATGTAAAGGGAAAAACAGACTGATTTATCAACGTTATTACTGAGGAAAGGGTGGTTAATAATCGCGAAATTAAAGTTTAGTGATTGATGGTGAGTTGACAATAGTTGTCATACTGAAGGTAGATGTCAATAAATGAATCTTAAGAGAGTCTGACTAAGTCTAAATAAGTTTGATGCATGTCTGATTTTATTCATGTTGAAGCAAAACTGAAATGTAAACATTTCTCCGTTTGCTTACAATTCAAAGTCAAACACCATTCTTAAGGCTGAATATAGAGTTATAAGCTTGGGTACATGTAGGTATTTGGATTGCCTTCTTCTTTGTGCGTACAGTCAAAATTCAGCGTTATAAGAAAACAAAAACAGGTCTGCTTTTAGCTGTTTCTATCGTAATACTATTAATATGTTGAACATTTCTACCATTAAATTCTGTGAAAAAGATTGTTCATTAAATATGTGTCAGTGGAAGATTATGAACCCTATTTCATTGTTCTGGTAAACGCTGGAAATGGATTGTTAATTAACAAAATCCAATATATGATTGATTTGTATATGTAAATAAAAAAGGGCTGATTTACGGATTTTTTTGAGGAGTGGTTTAAGTATTGTATGGTTTATGGTTTATAAAATGACTATATGCTTAGTCTGTATATTCGTGATGTATTTAACGTTGTCTTGGCGCCATCTCAGCTGCTGTTGTTGTCTTTTGTACTGGTATCATGTTAATTGTGATCGTGTCCTGATGTGTCTTATCGAGTCTGTGGTTTTATTTGTATACCTTGTTTTAATTGGGTTAAACAAGTGAATCACAGTACGTTTTATTGAAGATTAGGATCATCTAATGACTAACCCGAGATGTCTAATCGTAAAGAACACATAATATGTATGTGATAGTCATTAACTGATGCTATACGCCAGTTAGCACTACAGTGAGGAAATTTTGCATGGTTCCATAAGTAAAAAAACAACATTTTTTAAGCTATGTTATGATGTTAAAATCTCTTTACTTACTAAAAATGCTATTTTAAACATTTATTTTTTAATTTTTCACATCATGTGTTCATATTTTTTTAGTTCATATCCTTTTGTTCACATCTTTTTATTTACACTATTGTTTTCCGTTTAGTTCAACAAATATTGTTTTAAAACTGTTATCGCAACTGTAATGTTTTCCTACGCCATACTTAGCTTACATATAAAAAATCCTCAAATTCATATCATCTATGATGTTCTTTCCGTGCGAAATCCCGTTGAAAGGCACTGGATTTTAATCGAAAAGTACTTACTTTTTCGTCTGTATTTTGTACCAAAAGTAACTAATAATGCACATTAAAACGAGAAAACACTGGATTCTATAAGCAGATAGACACACACCGAAAACGCTTGATTTACTCATGAATCGTATAGTTATCTGATCACACAACTGTGATTAAACTATTCGTTTTGTACGTTTTCTACAATTAATTACTCTCTTGAATACGACTTTTATGATATATATTAGGAGAAAAGTATGAATTATGTGTTAAATATTATCTATAATAAAGACCAAAAACATGACTATAATTATAGAGCTCAAATTCTACTTACTTCGCCACACAAATAAAATATAGGAAATGTAAAAATGTGTGTCGTTTACATGCAAGTAATTGTTGTATGATTTGTGGCAGTTATATATCAATACAAATATTACATAATTATCTTGGAAAAAGAGAACTCACTATGATGTTATCAAAATAACGTATTATTATAGAAAGTAACTCTAGAAGTACAAGTCAAATATATAAAATTAAAATGTTATCGAAGATCGAGTATTGATGAGAAACGTTACAATTGGAGCATTATTGAAGGCATTATTATACGGAGGAAAATAAAAAAAGATATGTATTATACACACAAAATGTGGATAATATAATTATAGTTTAATAGTCGTATACACCTAGTTAAAGCATTTGAAAAAACATTTGGTTCCTCTATCGAACATACTTTTCTTAATACATAACCTCATTTGTGTAATACGATATTTCAAATAAAGACATTAAATTATTTAATTTTTATTTTACTATATCAGAAATGATTATTTACATATGAACATCTATTGAGGAGCTTTGTTTTATATTTTTTAAACAGCAAACTTTAGTAAATAGTGCTGGTATTGTAAACAAACACACTTTAACATAAAATAATCTTCTTTTTAAAGAAGCGCCTCATCATCTTCAACAAACTGACGTCAATATAAATACAAAACTGAAAAACATATTTGGGTTCCAAAATAAAAGCCACAATCAAATACACGAATAAAACACTCCCGAAAGTTTCATCGGTGCCACTTAAAAACATATCAACCGCATGACTAGAATACACGTCCGGGATAAATCTTTATGTTGATCTTTAATTGAAAAAAAAGGTTATTAAACATGAGGTTCTGATGAGACACTAAGATTAATTAAGACGTTGTGGTTATAGCGCTGACCAATGTACAGAGACTGCATTTAATTTAAACGAACATTTCCTTCAGGGGCTGGTCGGGGTTAGACCACAAGATGTACATTGCAAGTCTGCACATGCAATGACGCATGCTCACAATATAATCTATTTTATCCAATCATATCTGCGAGGAAGCATTTTAACTTCACTTTGGAAAAGTAATACTGATTCCGGAATGGATTATATATAAATATGTTCCACGATAGATGCAAAAATATCAACTGCTCGTTGTGTTACAACCATTGCAAAAGTCGTCGCAGGAAGTAGATACATTGAACTGTTTTTTGAGTGGATAAGCCTTTTCGTTGATCTTCACAGTAAGTAGACAATATCACAGTGCTTGGCCTAGATTAACTCCTACATAAGTTCTCAAAATAAGTAGAAAAACTGAGCTTTGTTTTAACTAGATCAAACTTAATGTATATGTTTTTACTACATCAAAGGTAAACAAATTCAGAACAATACCAATTATGTATATTTACGTGTAAATAGTAACACAGAATTTATACGAGTAAATATTTAAAAGTTTATTCAATTAATTTTTTAGCACAATTTAATGACCGGTGTTGAGGGAGAACCTTAAAACGCACTTTATTATAGCTATTAACTGATATTTACATCCTTTCAGTTTCAGTTTAACAAGGATGATGCAGTTCCTGTTCACGATTGCTTGCCTGGTAGTATGCGTTCTATGTAATACATACAGACCGCCATCTTACGGTGAGATCAATGTACATTATTGTTTCTAGAAATAGGCAAATGTTTAAAACCAGAAAACAAAAGCTTGATTTGATGAAGTAACATATGATTGGTTTATGATACAGGCCACTCTCTGCATTTTAATGACCATCATATTACCTAGGGACACACTATTTGTGTATAATTTACGTAAAATTTCTTGCGCGTGTGTATTGATGTGCTTTCAATTTAACATCCTTAATGTCCTTTAATCGATGGTTATTAAGTCTTTAGTTTATCCAGAAGACTGACACTAACATTGTATGTTATCAAATTAAGTTAATATTTCAATTCGTTATGTTGGGTTACATACTACAAACAAAAAAATGATAATCCTTATCATAAAAATACTTAAACAGTGTTTATCATCGGTTAAACGAATATTACCAACGTAATAGTTGTATTCCCAATGTCTCCATTAAATAGTTTTAAAATATGTACAGCATAAGAAGTTCTGATTAATTTCACAGTTTTGCGCGTTATTAATGCTGTTATTTTCACTTGTGTGTGTGTTTCTCACCTAGTGGATTTTATTTAGTCCTTGAGATTTGCTGTAATGTGGATGGGCACAGCTATTTCTTTTAAGTTGTGGCACGGTTCATAATGTAGACACTTAACAAACTATTTAATTTGAAATCAACTGGTATTCCAACTTTTAAAATTAGTAAATTATGGGACTTCAATGCCCTTCTGTTTCACAAGTAGTTTAGATAATTTGGATTTCCAAGTGTTTGACCGCTACCATCACCGATGAGTCCTCGAAGGACGAAACAGCTGTATGATGCAGTGTAATCCATGCTTGGTATATTGTGTCAGTGACTAAAGTGTTAAGGTGCACCCACCCGTGCGTATGACGAGTTCATTCATATTAACACTGTTGTTGAGTCTTGTATCGTACTTGGACAAAGTGCTGGTGTTAAGAAAGCTTATCATATTGCGGCTTCTATTGTATATATTGATTTTGGCTTCGAATCACCTTTGAGTCGTACTTAACTTTTTCTACTTTCAATTGAGTCTCGTATTGTGATTGGATCTCTGTTTCCTTACCACATAGAGTCACTCATCTATGCACTTTTGCACTTGAGGTTGATAGTGTTGTTAGTATAAGGTTCAATTAACACAAGTTAGTCTCATAATGTAGTTGAATAACGTTCCAAATATATAATGAGCCTAATGATTGGCCATTCCTGATTAAATTTTGATCTCGAATTGTTTTTTGATTTTGTTTCATAACCGTATCTGTGGTTTCTCACAACCAGGTGTCACATTATAGGCTTTATTACTTATCTATAATAATACTTTAAAAAAATAATTGCAATGCTTTATACTATTTCAAATAAGTATACCAATTATTAGTATTATTATGTTAAATATACACATTTTCCAATTGTGATATATCTTATGCAATTACAAACTAAATGCACTGCATAATAATGGATAAACAGATGTTCATTATTCAGAATAAAACAAGTCTGAATGATATTTACTTAATTTACTCCAATAATTAAACAAATTGTTTCCTTCGTTTAGGCGCGACTAAAGATGGCGGCGAAGTCAACACTGGCTTCAGTGATGAAGGCAGTCGTTTATCTGGACGTGGATTTAGACGGGGGTCTGGCTTCTCAGGACTGGTGTCCGGGCGTAGAGCAGGGTCCGTATTTGATGGTGTGGCGTCTGGGCGAAGGGGCGGGACTGTATTTGACGGTGTGGTGTCTGGGCGAAGGGGCGGGGCTGTATTTGACGGTGTGGTGTCCGGGCGTAGGGGCGGGGCTATATTTGACGGCGTAGTATCAAGGAAACTGGAAAAGGCTGTATTTGGTGGCCAGAGAAGAGGTATCGGTTTTGACGACTCCGTTTCGGGAAGAGGAGTCGGTTCAGGCATTGGCGGTCGTTTTGGCGGAAGGGGAGTAGGTATCAGAGGAAACGATAAGGTTGTGACCGGACGCTGGGAACAAGGGCGTAGCAGATGGTCAGACAGGAGTGACGATAGATGGATGGAAAGCAGAAGACGTCAACAGTCAAACAATGGTGGAGTACCGATTCGGCCAATCGGACCAGCAAAATTATACAATTGATATATAGAAGAAGAATGTCCTAGAAACGTGCCCCGTATTTATTCTTTTAATTAGTATATGTATACCGTTAATATATGATACATTATTAAAAGAAATACTCACAAGTTTGTTAAATAAATATTCATGTTAGATATATTTCTTGAAATTGGTGTTATCAATATAAATTTTATCTAAGTAGATTTGAAAAGTTAACCATAATCTTGAATATAGTTCTAATTATTTATGAACAGCTCAGTTTATCAATACAAACAACGAAGATATTACAAAATGAATCCATGTACCATTGCACATTAAAATCAATATTAATTAAGATTTAAAAAAAAGATATATACTAATAAATAATGAAATATTAGCCTTATTGGTGAAGTGTTCTATATGTGTGAGTGTATTGAAAACAACTAAAAGGGAAATGTTCCTAACGATATCCCATTTCCAAGAGTTACATACTTCAAACAATTGAATAGCCGATTATCTAAGTTGGGTAAGATGTGATTGGACACTGCTACTAAAACACTTTCCAACCCTAGAATACACACACAAATGTAGTCGTATCACCTAAAATATAAACTTAATATATTTTGCAACAATTATGAAACAAGTTATTTCAACTTGTATGAATCACTCTTGTTGGCCCGGATGTTAGCGCACGGGAGTCTTAGTGTGGGAGGAAACCGGAGTACCCGGAGAGAACCCAATTGGTCGGGCAGGTCCAAGAACCACGAACATCTAAAGGATATTCGACCTCTATCTTGATCTAAATAGAATAGAAATAGCATGTTTCCCATCTCGTAACGATAATATCAAGCCGAAGGATTTGGCATATGTGTATCAGTGAGTTTGTTAATATAATTTCGCAAAGGCCAATACCAAATCTTGAAGTCGACAGGATTTGTTTTATCAAATATCATATTTTGTCCTTAGGCAACTGATTTTTCCGTATGCATCATTTTGGTTAACTACAATAATCTAAAGTAATTACACTTAAAGTAAAACCAATTGGTACGTATCAGATCATTTACTTTACCATACAGATATAGTGATGATGATTGTTTCTTTTATAACAAAAAATATATTACAGCGTCAATTTACAAGGTCATGATTTGATATCGATGATAAAATTAAAATCGAAACAACAAACGCTTCAATTCATCAGCTTTATTTCTCAAATTAACCTCGGTAATGGCAATTTAGGTGTTCCAGCCTATTTTAAGTGTGAATATGTTGTACGTAGTTGTGTTATGTTATTAAAATCCAAATCATCTAAACTACTGGTGAAACAGTAACGTAAAGCATAACAATATATTTATTTAAAAAAATAGAATATCAGTTCATTTCAAATTCAATAATTTGTAAAGTGTGAATATTTTGAACCGTGCCACTACCTAAAAGAAATAAATGAACCCATGACGATTACAGCTATGCTCAGGGACTAACAATTACACTGGGTGAGTCTACCACATTGTTTCATGAAAGATGAACGTAACACACACCCACAAACAAGTAACACTAATAAAGGAACAGCACTCTATCCGAGTGGCAACTTAAACAGAGAGGTGACAAAATATGCAGAAACGTGACTAAATATACTCAGACGTGGCTTATAATACAGAGGGGTGACTCAATAAGCTACATTGTACATATACAATGGAGTGGCTAGCTGTGTTCAATTTACTCAGAAGTGACTGAATAAACACCTAAGTGACTAGATATGTTTCAACATAAACAACATGGACGGCTTACTTTGTTGTATGACAATCGTGTCGGTGTTGATTTTCATATCTTGAACTTTCCCTTTCTTTATAGTACCATCAAGTGACCGACCACACTCGATGTTATGTCGCTGTTGATATAATCGTGACAGATGTCGATGGCTAACGGACAATTCAAAAAATATGAGTTCGGTAGATGTATGATGATGGAGGATATTTACAGCTTTTATGGTCGCGATCATATGATCTTTTTTGGAAAAATTGCATTTTTCTTCCAGCAATTCAAAAAAGCATTTTCATGATTGTGCTGTTATGGTTTAATTCTTCTGGAACATCTGCTCATAGGCCCGTATTCATAAAACCGTTATCATGCTCAACCATGGATTATATGTTCTTACCAGTTTTCTTGTTACTAACTTTTATCTTGCCAGTTGATCAGAAGTCAATCGTATATCACTTAAACAGCATTTGGCGTTAAGTCTCTTCTAGCTTATTCCAAAACATTAACAAAATAATTTTAGACTTGAGCACAAAATACATGCTTGAGCATGAAACCGTTTCATGAATACAGGCCCTTTTTACATTGCACTTTTATTTAAAGCGAGAACATTATTTCAAGTTCAAGGCACTGTTTTGTTAACACTTCGGAACTCTCAGAGAATTTTATTAAGAAATACACAGAAATGACTCCTTCGCCAAGCATATCATCAATTGCTAAATTATTTGACCTGAAATATTTTTCAAATGTGAGTTTAGATATTTCCATGTGGAGCTATTATCTACTTTATTATAATTTACTTCCAACAACTGTGTTACGGTTTCTGCAAATGCCACGATTAAAAGAAATTATCCCTATGCTTAAATCCCAGGTGACATATACTAACCCTTATTGATACATATGTAGATCCATAGGAACGGATGCAATAAAGAAACCGGTTATACTCATCCAGATTCCTCTTACTTCCGGTTTGGGGTGTTTAATAAATATGGATAATAGTAATGGTTATAATTTTGAAAACAAACAACAAAGGCTTGTAATCACTTTCATACATTTAACAAGCAATGTGCACATAATTGAACAAATAAAAGGGGGGTATTTACATGACGTCTTTGCAAAGATTCTAAAAGGCAGACGTGAAGAGGTGAGTTTTTATGTCCCTCTTGAACTTGGACAGGGTATTCGACTTCCTAATAGCAGATGGTAAGCTATTCCACAACGTAGCCGAAACCCTCCCAAAGCATCTGTTTCCGTAGGTCACAGTACGAGATTTGAGGACACACAACAAAGATTCTGACTCCGACCGCAGTGATCTTGACGGCTGATACAGGTAACAAGTTCCTGTAGGTACTGAGGAGCTGTTCCATTCAGTGCCTTGTATGTGTATACCAGAATTTTGTACTGCGACCTACGATTTTGTACTACGTTTTGGGTTCCTCTGGAATTCCTTTGTGATTTTATGTCTCTCATTCAGATTCCTCTTACTTCCGGTGTTTGGTGTTTCGTATTCCTCTGGACTTCCTTTGTGATTTTGTGTCTCTGTCTCTATTATTCCTATATTATTTGTGTAACGATGTTGTTTTCTGTGTCTTGTGTGTCAACGTTGTCATGTATGTTTCAGTTCCATCGTAATATTCTGTACTATTATTTACAACACAAACCGAGACGCTAGCAAAGTGACATCCGTTAATGTAACATTAAATTTACATTTTTTTAAAATTCTAAATTGATACTAATACATTTAGAAGTGTGGTACATAAACATTGACATTGCGAATGTAGCAATAAATGGAGTGAAGTCTATTGTTGCACAGGCGTATAAGTAAATAAGAACATATCTGGAAATGCTAAAAAAGTAGAAAAAAGTATGATATACAAATGTACTAACAGTTATATCAACAGTTAATTCAAAGCTTCTAATCAAACTTATATAATACAAATACACCTGTTAATTTTCAAGTGCTGCGGTGTCAGCTGTCGACTATGTGTTAGCGCTACATGGACCCCCGATAATCAAACTAATAATTTAAGACGTCATGACCAAATTGAGATTATGTCAAGTTTCAGAACGTAACCAAATAAGAAATTGAACATTTTGAACTTAAGCTTTTTTTTAATGCACTTCACAGTCAGTATATAGAGAAAAAAAATCATAACCTAGATGTCACAGAGTGCGATGAGGTTAAGTACACATTTTCTACATGATTAACTCACAAGGGATAACTGAGTCATGAATGGTAGAGCTAAGAGAAGAGATTATAACAGAACATTTGATTAAATTATGAACACTTACCCTATACATTTGTGCAATTATGAAATATTAAATTTACATTGATACATGTATTTAGTACTGGTAATTAACGTTCAATATTTCTTATTGTCTGTTAATGTCGCCGATCAAATAAAAAACCCACCACACATACATATTTTCGTGTACGAAACATAAAAACAGGAAGGGAGATCACCCAAGCGTGCTTAATAACCCTTCTTGGCTTGCCCCACGTCAATATCATTAGAAAATTGTTGTTATACAAAATAAAAACATTATACAATATATGTATTATATACATAATTTATCTCTGGTACATGGTAGTGTTCTCATATCATACTGAGCCACAGATGATACCGTTATCTATCCAAGTCTATAGCATTGATTTAACTACAGGATGTCTTTCGGATCATGAACAATCCCCTTTTGTAGTAGAAAAATGTTGTATTTCTTCAACTTTCGGAATGCTTCGCGCCCAAACCCAACGGGTTTTGTCCCTGAAACTCTTCACAATATTCTCAATCCGCGCCTGTGTGATGTTATTACAATTACATTTATCAATGACTGATATCCTGGAAACCTTGTGATGATTATAAATTCGTATCTGGATATCCCGTATCTAGCGGTAACATAAGATATTACAAAGGGTTTTCATAAGCTATCCCTCTCTATCGTAATCGCTGTCAAACCCTTCATTAAGTTTTATTGTGGATCCTGACCTGCAATGCTTCAAATTCATTTCAGACAACATAGCTTTCTCTTCATCAACTTTCTTCTCTCTCATATTAACCTGAGTTATGACAAACAAGGCGACTTTAAATTCACGAGTGTATACTTTCCCTCCAATGGTATCAATGTAATAATACTTGATTACTCAGTTTATAAACTACCGCTGATTCACAATATCAGAGTCTGTTTTAGGTATTTCTGGATACTTGTATCATGTTGAGATAACCGAGTGGCAAATTCAACACATATGTGACCAAGTATACAGAAAAGTGACTGTGTTTGATTTTTATATTCTTCACAATCAACATATAGAAAAAGACGTTCATAACCTAGATGTCACCGAGTGTGAGGTAAAGAACACATTTTCTATATGGTTAATTCAAATGAGATAACTTTGTCATGAATGGTTGACTTCATAGGAGAATACAATATAACAGAACAGATTAACATTGACCTATTATGTTCGTGTTATTACGAAATATTAAATTTACTTTGATACATATATTTGATAATGGTCATTGACATTGAAGATATGTTCAAGAATGTTGCCGATCACACTTATACAAAACACACACATCAACACATTTTCATTTAAGACTTATTTTCATGAACGGAACACAAAAACAGGAAGGGAGATAATCCCAGACTGATTGACTTTCCTTCTTAGCTTGTAGCGCGTCAATATATTAGAAAATTGATTTTTGTGAGGGTTATAATCTCATAATACTGAGATATATATTTCATTTCAATCTGTATATTTTCTTCATACATTTACCAATGGTAAATTGTAGAGTACCCATATACTGAGCCATAGGTGATTCCGTTTTCTTTTATCCAAGTCTATGGAATTGGCTTAACTACAGGATGTCTTTCGGATCACGAATACCCCCATCCCCTTTAGCAGAAAATGTTGCATTTCTACATCTTTCGAGGGGCTTCGCGCTCCAACGGACGGGTTTCGTCCCTGAACCTCTGCACAAAATCCTGGATCCTGCCTGTGTGATTTTGTTACAATTACACTATTTATTGGCTGATATACGGGATACATCATTATTAATAGAAATGCAAATACATGTTCGTTCCTGGATATCACTGATGAAAACTTACCCTATATATTTGTGCAATTATGAAATATTAAATTTACATTGATACATGTATTTAGTACTGGTCATTAACGTTCAATATTTCTTATTGTCTGTTAATGTCGCCGATCGAATAAAAACCCCACCACACATACATATTTTCGTGTACGAAACATAAAAACAGGAAGGGAGATCACCCAAGCGTGCTTAATAACCCTTCTTGGCTTGCCCCACGTCAATATCATTAGAAAATTGTTGTTATACAAAATAAAAACATTATACAGTATATGTATTATATTAATCTATGTCTTGTACATAATGTATCTCTGGTACATGGTAGTGTTCTCATATCATGCTGAGCCACAGATGATACCGTTATCTATCCAAGTCTATAGCATTGATTTAACTACAGGATGTCTTTCGGATCATGAACAATCCCCTTTTGTAGTAGAAAAATGTTGTATTTCTTCAAATTTCGGAATGCTTCGCGCCCAAACCCAACGGGTTTTGTCCCTGAAACTCTTCACAATATTCTCAATCCGCGCCTGTGTGATGTTATTACAATTACATTTATCAATGATTGATATCCTGGAAACCTTGTGATGATTATAAATTCGTATCTGGATATCCCGTATCTAGTGGTAACATAAGATATTACAAAGGGTTTTCATAAGCTATCCCTCTCTATCGTAATCGCTGTCAAACCCTTCATTAAGTTTTATTGTGGATTCTGCCCTGCAATGCTTCAAATTCATTTCAGACAACATAGCTTTCTCTTCATCAACTTTCTTCTCTCTCATATTAACCTGAGTTATGACAAACAAGGCGACTTTAAATTCACGAGTGTATACTTTCCCTCCAATGGTATCAATGTAATAATACTTGATTACTCAGTTTATAAACTACCGCTGATTCACAATATCAGAGTCTGTTTTAGGTATTTCTGGATACTTGTATCATGTTGAGATAACCGAGTGGCAAATTCAACACATATGTGACCAAGTATACAGAAAAGTGACTGTGTTTGATTTTTATGTTCTTCACAATCAACATATAGAAAAAGACGTTCATAACCTAGATGTCACCGAGTGTGAGGTAAAGAATACATTTTCTATATGGTTAATTCAAATGAGATAACTTTGTCATGAATTGTTGACTTCATAGGAGAATACAATATAACAGAACAGATTAACATTGACCTATTATGTTCGTGTTATTACGAAATATTAAATTTACTTTGATACATATATTTGATAATGGTCATTGACATTGAAGATATGTTCAAGAATGTTGCCGATCACACTTATACAAAACACATACATCAACACATTTTCATTTAAGACTTATTTTCATGAACGGAACACAAAAACAGGAAGGGAGATAATCCCAGACTGATTGACCTTCCTTCTTAGCTTGTAGCGCGTCAATATATTAGAAAATTGATTTTTGTGAGGGTTATAATCTCATAATACTGAGATATATATTTCATTTCAATCTGTATATTTTCTTCATACATTTACCAATGGTAAATTGTAGAGGACCCATATACTGAGCCATAGGGGATTCCGTTTTCTTTTATCCAAGTCTATGGAATTGGCTTAACTACAGGATGTCTTTCGGATCACGAATACCCCCACCCCCTTTAGCAGAAAATGTTGCATTTCTACATCTTTCGAGGGGCTTCGCGCTCCAACGGACGGGTTTCGTCCCTGAACCTCTGCACAAAATCCTGGATCCTGCCTGTGTGATTTTGTTACAATTACACTATTTATTGGCTGATATACGGGATACATCATTATTAATAGAAATGCAAATACATGTTCGTTCCTGGATATCATTGATTCAGTGGTAACATAGGCTATTACAAAGGGTTTACATAGATATCCCTATCTAACGTAGGCTACTGTCAAAACCTTACATCAAGTTTTGAATACTCCTTCTGTTTTGGATACTGCCGTGCAATGCTTCATTTTCCTCTTTTTTCACAAATCAAAAAGCACCTCTTTTCCCGATTTATATCGGAATATGTATGTATTTAATGATTTTTCCAGTTATTCGTGCACATACGGGAAAATATGATAACATTTTAAGCCTTTGTTTGGGTTAGTATTAGAATGCAAGCAGCAGAAATCGAAATCCTGTTTGATTTGGATTAATAAGCCTTTCAAAAAAATATCTTTTGAACTTATCTGATAGTTCTATCTTCAAATGGCAACGTATATTAATATGTTCAATTTTTCATCAATGCGATGAGTGCGTTGCGTTTATCGGCAGATCAATTTTGATTTTTCTTGGTCTGACTATACTTTTGATTACTATTGATCAATGATACACATTAAATGTAAAGGTTTCTTCATAATCCATACTTCTGAATGAAAAAAGCACACATTTAATGCGTTTGACAATTGATAGGGTATATATTTGTAATACTAGCTCTATTTACCTAGTGATATCAGTCAGACATGGATTTTGTAAAAAAGGACTTCAGGAGATAGGATATTTAACCAGATGAGTTAAGTGTTCAGTATCGTCACCAAAGGCACAAGAAGCATCTGCATACTACACAACCGTGGCAAGGACTCCAATACCTCAGAAATTACGCATTTGTGACATAAACAGTCTTATTTTGTCGCAGGTAAACAATTTATCTTCATTTCGATTCATGGTCTACTAAATAACATGCTGTGCCGAGTTATGATATATCGGATACAGCCTCAGACAGCAGTTTGGTTGAACACTCAGCTGTCCAAGTGAGAACAACCTAACGTCTACTGCTTATGGGGTACTTACATTGGATTTTGATACGTATCATTTAAAAGGTCTAATTTCCCAAATAGTTTTTAACATAACATCACTTTATTTCAATATTGCGTATTTGCTAGAGTCCTCTTTGACATAATTTGACAAAACAAGCCTTTAAAATTCATGTTTGTGTAATTTATCACTATCACTATCTATAACAGTAATGTCCAATTACATAAATCAATTCAAACAAGAGGAAATAAAATCCAGTGGTGATATAAAATGTTTTAATCTTACCTCTGAACAAGTTAACACATAATTCTAATTGGACATATTATTCAGACCGATCTATTGAAATGTCAATGTAGGGCTTAGTTCATCTATCACATTAAACGTGGGCATAAAAAACTTATCAATCATTAAACTTGTTTCGTCCGCCCAGTGAATACTTATATACCTTAACTATTGACGCAATTTTGATTCAACTGTGAAAATTGGGAATTCCCTTATCTTAATCGCATTACTGTGACGTATATTTGATAGATGTGAAAATGGATTTCGATTATTTTTCCAGAAATTATATATTCGTTTCCTCATCAGTTTTGTATATAAGATGACACTTTATCCACTGCCATACACACCTTGTACGGACTTCGACCGAAGCTGTAAATAGCCGCCCTCTTACCTTTATACAGACCAAGGTATGTTTTAAAACTGGTTGTTATTGTCTGACGAACAACTGCATGCATTAACGACTTTGTCATTGATTGATGTAAACTTATTTTATAAAGTACCTCATTCAGTATTTTAAATTATTAACACACGATTAACGTCAATTCTATATACTGGACGTATATAATAAATAAGTATGGATATAGTAAGATTGAACAGTTACGGATATACTTATAATACAATAACAATAACAGATTGTCAGTTTATTTTAATTACTAAAGAGTTTACTGATAACGAATAAACAATTCATTTTGATATATTGATATATGACTTAAAAATGAATACATATTTTTTTTTATCAGAAATATCGTACTAAAAGGTTAACACATTGTTCATGTACGTAAATCGATATTATAAATATATATTACTGAAAGTAATACAGCGTATTCAGATATTTTAGTTAAGTAATAGAAAACGACTATACAATGCAAAATATTATTAGAAATATGGTACTTAAAGATGAATATACAGTATATTTTGATTACTATAATATTTACGGTATGTTTTATTATCTTAAAATTTGATATTGTAAATGCGTTGCTAAAAATTATTATGAATTTCTTAATTACAAAAAAGTAACTTATGGGTTAACATTTATTTCAATGTTTGTAAAAAAAACCCCATTCATTGCAGATCATTCGCTTATGTTCCTAGTAAATATGCTTTTTTGTAAGATATCATTTAATAGAGCTGTATATTCCTTTGCAGGCAATCCTAGAGGTTAACATGCTGAAAGTACTGATACTGCTGTCCTGTTTGGTGGCATCGACCCTGTGTCAATATTTTACAAGTAAGTGTCCCTGTACGGATCACAGATCATACGCAATGTAACGATACACATTTTATTTAAGTTAAGTTATATAAGAAATGCCTTGATTGTGTAGCTATTTTTTAAGAAGATAATTTGTTGGAATCTTGGAATTATATTTTGTAATCAATGTACTACACGTTGATGATCATAATTGAGACATCCCGATGAAAGCATTGAAAATCATAGTCCGAGTGGTCACTACTATGTTTCACAGGATGACAAAAGAAGGGACAATAATTATTTGTGGAGTTGTATACACAGATTATTAACACAAGAGTCGGGTCCCTACAGAATTGTTCGTTACCCTCCCCTTTTACCGATCAATAGTTTATACACCTGATATAACAGGCCGATGTCTCTATTCCAGGTGACTTACATGGCTACCCTGTAGGCGGACCTTATATGAATGGCGGATTACGCTCTGTATTATCAGGGCATCGCTTCAGTCGCTTTGGAAGAAGAGATTATGAAAGCGACCTCGGATACGGAAACGACTGGCACGGTGATAGGTGGGATAATGACTTTGAAACTGACATGGACAATCAAAGATACCTGAGAGGACTAGGATACTGAGTATGAGAAGGTGTGTTACTATTGTTTACATATATCACCTTATGGAATAGTTCATTAACATCTTTCTCAATAATTCGTTACTTCTTTTTGCTTAGTGAAACTAATTGCGATAAAGAGCATTGTATACAACTTTTAAAGATTTTCATTGAAGAAAATATTTAACCTTCAAAATAGATTTATTAATTTACTGTCATTTATACTTTAGAATGTAGTTATATGGTGTAATATACTTTGGTACTTGTCCTATTAATAATTGCTGAGAACACATTGTTCTGAATACTTTTAAATTTTAAAACTAATTTGTAATATTTTTTTTTATCTTTCAGAATAATGAAACCAAATATTGCTGCTATCACATCCAATTAATAGCGTCATTTTATATCATTTTAATTTTATCAATTTTATACATTTTATGTGTTTTGGAATACAAAAATCCACAAATATATTTTCCTGGTTTGTTGTTGAATTTATAACCCGTGCATTGTTATGAGCAAGTCTTGTCATTTCGTCCGACACAATGATACATATATGGATATAAATAAAATACCACCTGAATCTGACTCTGAAAGAAAGAATGACATAGTCATGTTTGTAAAGCATACATAAACTCTCCTTCCCGCAAAATAAAACTAAGAAAGTAGAGTTAAAATCAATGTCTAACAAAATATAATAAAGCGGGAGATAAACGTTACAATGACCTACATTTAATCTATTTACATATACAGTTTGATAACAGTGTACCTTCTAGTACTAGACAAATGAAGTTGAACCAAGTTTAATCAAGATGCCAAAATGCACGAAAGTACGGACGGACCGACCGACAAACATTTAATGGTTTGTATGTTTTTGGTACATGACACGAAATGTACGAAAGTACGACGGACCGACAGACAAACATTTAATGGTTTCTATGTTGTTGGTACATAACACGAAATATACGAAAGTACGGACGGACCGACCGACAAACATATAATGGTTTCTATGTTGTTGGTACATAATACGAAATGTACGAAAGTACGACGGACCGACAGACAAACATTTAATGGTTTCTATGTTGTAGGTACATACCACGCAAATGATACTTGTACAACCATTTGTAAACCTTAATCTTGTATATGATCCTAATGGCTAGAGAATGGCTTATGTCTTGAGCAAACCTTTCATATTCCATTAGAACGATATATATAAATATTCAGTGGCGATATATTTGTAATGATTACCCTATGAGGTGACATCATTGAGCGTGGTGGATACATTTGTCGTGATTACCCTATGAGGTGACATCATTGAGCGTGGTGGATACATTTGTAGTGATTACCCTATAAGGTGACATCTTTGAGCGTGGTGGATACATTTGTAGTGACTACCCTATGAAGTGACATCTTTGAGCGTGGTGGATACTTAAGAATTGAACTGTTTTTATATGGTATTTATGATCTATTTGAATGACACAGCTTTGCAAGCAAACAACATAATGCGTCAAAATAGATCATAAATATCATACAAAAACAGTTCAATACTTATATTTACGTTTCTCTGCCTCTTATGTTTTAACTTATAATTTATAATTAAAATCAAAAATGCCCGCCTTATCGACAGTCCGCACAATTTCGTTCAATAGTTTGAACAGCGTATTGTCGCGTGCTGATTGGCAAACAAAGTAGTACTTTGACATTTTAACAAACACTTCAAATTTATTCCACAATTAAGTATCAATACAATTGCGTATGATATTTCTATAGGGTGATTCCAGTTTTTCAATAGAAATCTGAGCTGAAAGTTAGATTTGAAATTGTTTCGATTTCCCCCCGGAACAAATTTCGCGCATGGATAAATACAGTGAACACCGTGAATGGGACCTTGACCTCCACGAGGGAGTTATTTTTGGAAGTTAATTCGAACTTTTCTCTTTGCTCATTTTGTGAAGAATCCAGGCGTGAATGTATTTGTTGATTGTATGGGAACCCGACAACAGTCGGTAGATTCTATAACAGCATCGTTATTTGACATGTCGTCTGAAACTGAGGAACCGTGGATGCGAGACGCGTGAAACTGATAGCGTTTGAAGTGAGTGATCTTGCGACGGAGCACAGGTTCGTTACAAATGTCTGAAATGTTTATGTGTGCTGTGACTCATATCAGTAGGTCTGTAACATATGTGTCAGTAGGTCTATAGAATATGTGTATTTCAGACATTTATAACGAACCCCTGTTGATCAGTGCAGTGTAACAGACGATATTTCTGATAAATTGCATGAGCGTTAAAATTGTTTCCATTGCCGGCATTGGTGATTTCAACCGATGTGCATTTTGTACGATATTGCAGACCTTGGTCTTGTTTTCGTTGTAATAAATTTGTTTTTTATTTTATTTTTTATTTTGCACATAAATTTACAATGACATTATCAAATCTCACAATGCCCAGCGATATTTCAGCAGCCGTCATGTTTATTTACATTGGATATTGTAGTTCCGGTCAGTGTTGTAATTAATACGCTAAGAATTGTGTCTCGTGCGGCATGGTAATTATGTCTCGTGCGCATGGTAATTAAAGTCCCATCAACGACACAGCTTTCAAAGAGGCTATATAGTGACAATGCCATGCAAATGTAAATATATTTGTAGTGATTACCATATGAGGTGACATCATTGAGCGTGGTGGATACATTTGTAGTGATTACCCTATGAGGTGACATAATTGGGCGTGGTGGATACATTTGTAGTGATTATCAGATGAGGTGACATCATTGAGCGTAGTGGATACATTTGTAGTGATTACCCTATGAGGTGACATCATTGAGCGTGGTGGATGAATTGGCGTCTCCGTTATACTGTGATGAAGGTAGTTTGCGTCAGGTATGAACTTTTCACGTGTCATTGGTCAACCGTTCATAGTCTTTTGTAATATGAATTTGATATACATTTATGGATTTAATTAAATGATACCCGGGCATACTCTTCAGTCCTTTACATATTTTGCTCCTGTTCAAATACCGATATTCACATTTATGTAACTTAACATTTGTTCAGATATAACTTACATACAAACTAGCACAAATTGTGAAACAAGCATTTTTATATATATCTAAATCCCTTTTTCTTACAATTTAAAAAGTTTACTTTCAAATACTGTAAAAAACAACCCTGCTTATATTGTATCAAGTTGAACATGTACCAGTATAATACTTTGTTGAAAATACCATAATATTGTAGTGTACGTTATCATAAATACACTAAATTTAGAGGGGAACGTAATAGTGTTCCAATCATACCATTCTGTAAATGTAGATAAATAGTAGACAATTTTCATATTTTCATGTAACTAATATATATGTATGTATAACTCAACATTGATGAAGGGTTACTCTGCATCGTAACTCATGATGATTACAAAGAAGCGTTCCACACAAAGCTTGTTTTGTTTATTTTGATTTTCTTCATATAATATATAAACACGACGAAACAACCAGCAGGAGGCTTGGTAGTCTAGTGGTAGGACGCCTGGCTCTTGACCGAAGGGTTGCGGGACAGCACTGTGTTGTATCTTTGAGCAAGATTATTTACTTCGCTTGTTCCAGTCTACTCAGCTGAAAATGTGTAGAATGCTAGCTGTGAGCTCCAAAATGACAGCACCCCAGGGAGTTGAGAAAGATTTTGGCTGGCTGCAAAGGCCCTATAACCGCGGATAATAATTTGTGAACTGCTTTGAGACGACCTACGAACTAAGTTGCGATAAAGCGGTTTATAAGAACCTCGAGTTATTATTATTATTTGTTATCATAGGAGTGTTTTTGGTGAAGATGGACTTCCCTTATCAATACATAAATTTCGCACAGTCCGTGCTGCCTCGACGTTAGGTTCTCATATGATGCTGTGCATCTATAATTCCTGGTTAGCAACATAGATAAAATGCACAGAATTCGATCCCTGTAATTTATATTTTGAAATTTCGAAATACTATGATTATGTAAAATAAAATATTGCAACCTACGACCTACAGTGAATTTTCAGTAAAATCATGAACATATCTATATTTGTGAAAATGTGAATACAGAATTTTAATTTGGTGGTACCGTTACGTCAAATGAAACGCTTCACTGTATTCGCAAACCGCATATGGCAGTTTGTTGTATATTGTACATTATATGTTCGCAACGAAATACAAACAATCCTTGTTTATCACTTTCTTTGCATATTCCAATGTCTTTCGGATAGTCTACGCTCAGGATGATATTCGGATCTTGTTCTGACAGTTAATTATAAAGTCTACCATTGGAAGATATCGTTCAAACCAATTAAGAAATGGAAACATATTTCGTCATCTAAAAGCGGATCAAACAACGTAACCGAGTATTTGTCAAAAGAATGGTTATAAGGATGTAACTGTAAAGATAGATTTCAACAAATTTGTATAACAGAATTCAATTACGGTGAAAATATTAGAGAAAGTTGACAACCATCTTTTTGCAAAATAAATGTTTTCATTAATATGATATTTTAAAGGATGTTAAGTTATAATTAACTATATAAGTTCAAAGGTAGTTAATACATAAAAAGTTGAAAATCAAATCGGATAAAAGCCATCCACAGCGCAACAAAAGCCATCCACAGCGCAACAAAAGCCATACACAGCGCAACAAAAGCCATACACCGCATAACAAAGCCATACACAGCGCAACAAAAGCCATACACAGCGCAACCAAAGCAATACTCAGCGCAACAAAAGGCCATACACAGCGCAACAAAAGCGAATACACTGTAACAAAAAATAAGAGAATTTCAAAACACGTTTTGAAAAGACACATTTTTTAAACTACTGGCAGATCTGACAATGAAAGAAATGATGAGCGACAGCAGAGTTATCATAAAACCAAACAGGAATGATTTTTTAATCTATGTTTACATTCCGTGTGATCACAAAACCAAACCACAATGATTTTTTAATCTAGGTTTATATTCAGTGGGATCACAAAACCAAACAGGAATGATTTTTTAATCTAGGTTTATATTCAGTGTGATTCACAAAACCAAACAGGAATGATTTTTTAATCTATGTTTACATTCAGTGTGATCACAAAACCAAACAGGAATGATGTTTTTGATCTAGGTTTATATTCAGTGTGATCACAAAACCAAACAGGAATGCTTTTTTAATCTATGTTTACATTCAGTGTGATCACAAAACCAAACAGGAATGATTTTTTTTAATCCAGGTTTTTAATTAGCTGTGCAAATATCAACCGAAATTATGATTTAAGGTCAAACGGTGGTTAAGCAGTACACATGGATAAGATATTTATTTAGAGTAAATGTCAAATACGTTAGTAAAATCCAGGAGCACACGAACGTTAAACGGTAGATACAGTTCTTTGGTTAAATGAAACGTGCAATGTTAGGTTAAACTTATGACAAGGAAAGTGTGCACAGAAAGAAAAACAAGACGGCAAAAACTACATATAATCTATTTTTCATGTAGCTATACAACACAGGGAAAACTTTTAAATTGCATCAACGTAAAGTGCCGTCGTCATGCCATCAATTATTTCATCATTATCACAAACATATGTCAACATTTTGACATAAACATCGATGTTTAGCTAAATAACATGGCATACTTTTATAAACCTATTTGCCGATAGGAATTTAACATTAGTGGAACAGACGTAGAAAAGGTAGGTTCGGGCTGCAAAAACGATTGAGTTTATTTCAGTCTATATTTATAAATATATAATAAACTAGGAGAAAGAGAGCCACTAACTAAACATAAGATCGTGTGGGGTACATTGGAAAGTGAAAAGCGTAAGTTTCTGAATATATTATGGACTTTTTTGAATTCGTTATTAATTAATTATGTTTGGTATTATATGTGAATTCAAGAAAGCTGATAGAAAAAGGTACGTTTCATCAACTGATACTGCAGGATTCGTTATAAACCAAAGTCGTTGTTTACGACACGTTTTTGTTAATTTGCTGGTGTTGTGAAGTTACGCTTCATCTTAAGTTTACAAACAGTTCACACAGCTAAACAGGGAAATAGCGTTTACAAATTTTATTTCAGTATATATCAGACACTTCCAGTGTGTATTGTAGGGGAATCGTAATTAATATCGCTAATATTGTGTAAATTACATTGGGTTTGACTTAATTGTAAATACTTATCATGAGTTTGACCTAGTTGAAAGTACTTAAAATGGGTTTGACTTAATTGAAAATAAGCTTTCATTATACAAGTCGGCGAAAACAATAACCTTCGATGTATTACTTCTAAAAAGTCTTTAAGATTTCAGGAAATGTTTGGCTCCAAATTTAGAACATACGTTGATATAATCAGGTCCAAATTTCTATATATAGACACATTTTTCCTGTCAATGTCTGATACAGCAACAAGTAAGCTATTATTCATGGCTGCACAAAGTACCATATAATAAGGAATCAAAGTTAAGAAACGTCGGTTTGTGAATTTAATGATAGAGTTCGTGACATCGAAATAATGTTTTCATTTAATATCACTATATGCTAAAACATAACAATTACCATTGCATGTTAACAACACCACTAATAGTTTTAATGTTAATATAATTCTAAATAGTAAATAATAAATATACAAATCCTTGCGAAGGTAAATATAGAAATATGTTTTCGTGATGATAAAACAATAAGCTTTTTATTTTAGAATTATAAAATATCTCTCACACATATTACATCTTTATGACAGCTGAAGACATATCTGATATACGCCTGAGGCTATCGAGACTGCCATACTACCGCGGGCTAAAGGTTTGTGTATTTCTTATATTGCTTATGTAGCGAGTTCATGAGTACACGTGATTAGTAAAACTATTTGAGAGTAATGTTGCAGACCTTCTGACTATTGTTATGAATCAGAAGAATGCGTAGCTTTTGATGAAAATGCTCATTAACATTAAAAAGTAAATAAACTTTAGAATGGAAACTTGACAAGAACTTCGATGCTTGAAATATATGTACATGATTGAATATATAATGCGTTGTTTAACTCTCCGAATTTATCAGTGTATTTTTCTTTCAAAGCTCGGGATGGATGATATTTCTGGTGCTATTACACTATGTAATACTAAAAAACAATTCACATCAATAATGAATAACATTTCCGTTATAAGGGGAGATAATAACGTTATCATTACATAATATTAGTTTAGCGACACTAAGTTATTCGCCGGTTAGTGCAGGTTTAAAAGTTTTACAAACATTTCCTCTTTCCATTAGTTTTTTCGTGGTTGGTATCTGTCATCGTATGAGAGGGATGGATCCTGATTAAGCCTCCTCCACAAATACATGTATACAGGTGTGCACTAATTATTTTTTTCGTGTCTGGTATATAAGGCAGCTAAGCAATTAACTTAATTCATGCTCGTAACGTCATACACACATTTGATTGATTTACTGTTATTTTAATTAAAATGTTGGAGCTTGGATTGTTGGCACAATAAACGGTTCAATGATTGGCTGCCGATAACAGCGTCAGGGTTTCTGAGGCTGGTCAGTGATTGGTCAAGCGGTCAGAGGTGACGCTATCTCACTCTGGGACATATCCCCGCATCAGGAAGCCACTTGTGGCAGCTAATGGGTTGTTCAATTTTTTATATAATTTTCCATATATTATTGATTTATGCTAAGAGCCCTAGTGTGGCTCTATTGATGTTAACAAATTCAATGTCACCATTCTGGTGGTCATTTTCATCATATTGTTGTCCGAGTTTTGCTTGTTATGAGTGCAAGGGGCATACATACATGTATATACTATCTCATTTCAATATATAGGTCAAACATGAACTTTGATAAAGCATATCATCCGAGTTCCCCGACAAGCCACTAACATATTAACTATGGTCAGACAAGAAAGCGAGCAGTCCTATTGAAAGGAAGTTTAATAACAACAAATTACTTATTTAGTCCTCAGAAGTTATTCATGTATTTCCTTCTACTTGGATGTATAAAGAAATGTGTTGAAAAGTATCCTTTCAATAAATGATGATTCCTAACAAACATCCTGGTATTCTTTCGTTCTGTTCTACAACTGCAAAAAAAGCACACCGGAATATTTAAGAAATAAACAAAAACACTACATAGATATATATACTGATTTTTGTTCTGTAATATATCACTTGTATTTTGTTGGATCAGTATTGTTTAATACCACAAAATGTGTAATAAAACAAATGACACATTCATATCTACAGCATACAGCATGATGTTGGTGGGATTCTTTTATAAATAACATATGATAATTGGTTATTTTTCCTTTACAATTTGAAGAAAACGACATTTATCTGGTTTATCAAACATAACTGGCCTATTTGTCTGTGATATTCATCTGAAAGTTAGAACAGCGGTCGTTAATGAAGAACAGAACGAAACAATACCAGGATGTCTGTTCGGAAACATCATTTATTGAAAGGGTGCTAAAACACTACAGTACAGCCATTGAGATAAAACAAAGATTAAACGAATGAGTAAATATTAAATGTCCGACTGACCATTCAGTTATGGTGCAAGTGCAATAGTTAAACTGATGTATATCGGCTTGATAACACGGTCTGGATTGCAAGAACAGGGAAGATGATGTGCCATTGTGTGCTTAGAAACATCTTAATAATTGATGTATTGTTAGGTTTGGATATAGTATAACAGTTTCACATCTAAAGACTTCCAAATCGTTTGAGTTCTGTAAAATAAACAGGCCTTTGTTGTGTATAGGCACGAGAGATATTTTTTTAAATTGTAATGACAAAGATAGTTCTAGATAACACAGCGCCAATAAGTCAAACAGTCTCGGCGGAGGTGGAGTGTCAGAGACAACCAATTATCATGGTGTGTTTGACAGGTTATTTAAGCTAAAGACAGATTGCTAATTTAGAAGGCAAAATATGGATACGATTTGGATGCTATTTCTAGAAAATTGTCTTCATTCAATTTTTCGGGAATTTAATTGCTACATTTTCTTTTCCTTACATCTTTGTGTATTCGACTAACTGTTGTGAACGGACGTTTTGTTCTTTATAGCCAGTGAAGTTATATAACTTATCGTTGTTTGTATTACAATTTAGAAATGAAATTATTTGTATTTTGACGAGAAACCAAGTAAAACTAAACGAAGGAGCACATTTACGTCAAATGGATGTTACAGGTCAAGGGGTGAATAAAGTGTTCATTGTAAGGTAAAAGAACAATTGCATTTACGTCGGACAAAATGAAAGAAAAGGCAAAAGGAAAACCTCATATAAAATCTATTATTCATGAAGTTACGTAGCACAGGTTAAATCTTCGAATTTTATTAGCTTGAATGCCTGTTTAAGTCTAAATAAACCTGTCGTCATTAAACTGTCAGTCATTTGGCATTATTATAGCCTACATATGTTCAATATTTGACAGATACATCGATCTTCGACTAAATTCCATGCCAAACGCATATATAAAGGTATCTGCCGATAGGAAATCAATATAAGTGGATCAGACGCAGACAAGGTAAGTTCAAAATACAAACTGATGGAGTTTATATAATTTTATGCTGAACCTTGTAATTAAATTAAGGGGAAACTTAGTAAATGACTGAACAAATGCCCATGTCGATACAATTGACCGTGAAAAGTGCTGACATATTAGTTCTAAACCATGGAATATTTTGAATCCATAATGTTTAAGTGATGACGTAATATGAATATCATTTTCAATTGGAAATTACAAACACCTGGATATAGAAGTGAGGCGGTTTCAACATGTTACTCATACGTATATCAACAGAGGTATGACTGCGTGAAAGTGTTCATGTTTTATCGGCAAGGTAAAGTTGGACAGTTATTCGTTATTCATTATTCGATATTCGGAATAACGAATAACTGTCCAACTTTACTTTGATTGTTTCATCTCAGAAAGACGAGATGAAATTGAGATGATGATGTTTTTATAGGAGCCGGACGGCATGAAGATGATCATATGTACATGTCTACAAAAGCATAACGATGCTGTGATTTTATATTTAAGTCTACGAAAACAGGAGTTATTAATATCCTTATGTTCATATATTTATAGCAGAGTGACGGTGTTAATATTTTTTTTATCTTTTTAAAGAAACAGAATTGTATTGAGATACATATGTTTGTATGAACGTGTGAAGATAGAAATATATTTTTTCCACAAATATTTTTCAGGAACAGGACGGTATTAAGATGTTGCGGCTAATTTGCCTATTACCATGCCTTGTAGCCTTGACAACGGGTCGAATGATATATAGTACGTATATCGTCACAACTTGTCCGGTTTGTTTTTATGTCTTTGTAATTGCTTTTGTCGTCAAATTAACATACTGTAAGTTCCTTATATGTTGTAGATGTGTTACATCGAGTTTAACTGTTTATCTTTCATTTTTTGGTAATCATATCAGAAAGGTTGTGAATGTTACATGTAATACTTGCTGAATGTCATCTTTCCTATTTAGTCAATATCGCTGATAAGGATTTCTGTAAAATATAATACAAAGCGAATGTGAACAGAAATCGCCATTCTACATGTGTTGACAGTTTAGTGATAGCTTATGATTTAACACACTCATTGTGATCTTTATACAATTATTAAATTGAACAACACCATTGATAAGCGCTTCATGTTATTTTCAAGTTTCGAGTTGAAATTCATAATATTATCGGAAAAATCCATTACGATACATTATTACGGTAAAGTCGTCATGAAATAGCGTGCATGTTGTTGTGATGATTTATATACTTAAACAGTAATGAAGATTGGGAATATGTTATATCACACAATTTGTACTTTTATTGAAGATTGTTTAAAATATATATTTAATGTTGCTCAATATGCTGTCATAAAGCCCCTTTCTTTGTACTATTTAACACGAGTTTCCAGTCTCTGTGCTAAAACAAAGCGAAAAGTCAACTCTTTCACACGTTTAGAACGCTAAGATATAATCCGTGTGAATATATTTTTGTAATTTTGGGCTACAATTGCGAAACATTAAGCCCGCATCAAAAACCCATTATTCGGAATTCGGATCAAGCTCTTACATAATGTATCAACTACGACACGTAAACACCGTATATTTGGGAAGCAAGGATGTTACTTTCTCCCAACTATACGTATGAAAAGTGCCATGTGGAACACCCAACCCATGTGGAACACTCATGTGGAACACCCATGTGGGACGAAAAAAGATAGGGGAATCTCAACCCAAGGGGATATTCTTAAATTGCCAAACACGAGGATTTGCCGAATGTTTGGCAACTTAAGAATCTTTCTCCGAGGGTTGAGATTCCCCTATCTTGATTGACAGTGTTCTCTATTGTTTATATGGCTACTAATACTGTGTACCCAATAGTTTGTATCTCAATCAATGTTGCATCCTTTTTTGGTATTCATGTAGAGTCATTCGGTATCCTCTATGGTTCACATACACACTAATTAAGTATTCTCTTTGATTTAGATCCATACAATGTGCAAAGAGTGATGAATCCCTATCAAAACAACTACGGGTATAACCCACTGGCGAATATAGCTGGCAATGTACACCAACTGGGACATCATAGGAACAACTTTCGGGGGAATGGTCAAGAGATAAGCAGTCAATTTATAAGCGACATACAAGAAAGAAACGAACAGATGATCAGCGACTTACGATCGAGGGAAGAACAGCGGATGAGTGACTTAAGGTCACAACAAGAGCAGCTGATAAGCGATCTAGGTGGATCTGAATTGGAACCTCGGCTCACACAACAATGGTGGTGAATTGATAAATACTAAACAAGCGATTTATTCTTCAATACAAAGTAGTCCAATCGTATTCTTTATGCAGATTTTTCTCAAATACCTTTTACTTAGTAAATGATATATTAATTATAATATAATTGCAATTATAAACTGAATGAAAATAAAAATATTTGTTAAAATCTCATTTTTGTGATGATTTTTTAATTTAAACAAGGACGCTTTAAACGTTTTCCAACAACGGCATAACATCAAACTTAAATTAGGGTTTCAAGAAAGAATATGTAACATAGAACATTTAATCTATAAGGGGTAATGCATTGTTTTACGTCAGCATTCTCTGGTTCTTTTGATTAGTTTAAACTTTATTTTATTATTGGTATAACATTCCAGGAATACAAACATGATATACATATAGGATTCGAAAACAAATACAAAGTATTTATGTTGATCTGTCTCCGTTTTTGTGAAACAGCGGTTATACGGCTCTGACTAATATTATACATAATAATAAAGATAAGATATAGTATATATATTTAATATATTATTTTATGGAAGAGAAACAGATGGGGAAGGAAGTAGGGAAAGAGGTGCAAAAGGGGTTAAAGAAACGGTTGTTGGGGTAAGTATATAGCGGATTAAATTGACTGCATTATTGAAGAGAAACTGGCTGCAATATATTTTGTAAATGGACACATATCCATGACTGTCCATGTCAATGAAGGTGTCAACATATAATGAATTAATTACTTATAATAAAAACTGTCCATGCCGATCCCTGCGTATTCCTACAGCCAGTGTTGAACAGCAACCTGGAAAGGGCTTTTATAGGCAATGCCTGTGCCTAATCCAATTGTGTTTTTTGAATACAATACAATTGATTTGAAATGAAATGAACAGCAACCTGGTATAATTTTTTAATATTAAAAGTATCATCAAACAAGACTATGACAATTTGTGTATGTATATCCATACTGACGTGTCGTGACATACATGGGCCGTACCATTAAAGTATCACTATGTTCCACATGTAAAAATACCAAAAAATCAAAATTTAGGTCTTCAAACTTAAAATCGTTTCGTCTGGTTCATGAAATATTGCACACAGTCAAAGATATTCTCATTATAATTTACATACAGATCAAGATTTCTGTACAGTAGAAGGTTTACGTTATAGTCGGGAGGAATGCTTCTGAAGCATTTTACTCTTAGTTGTTGGTATTTCGGGGCTGACCTTGGATAATCTTATGGAATTGTATGATTTTGTGTCTGCTTCTTCGAACAGAAAAAGGGCCCCAGCCATATTCTAAATAAATTCGATCATGACTAGTTAGTTTAGTGGCCCAAGTTACAATTCTGGCCTGTTCAAGATGTATATTTTCTAAAATTGACTTTGCTCAATCGTTGTATTATATAGATATCACATTCATGAGAGGGCGATATTGCATATTTTCACCCCAAGGAAGCGTTTATTATACCGAGTGTCATGTTTAGGTGTTTCACCACTTCACCATTTTTAAAGGTCGACAAACGTTTCAGAGAAGTTTTCACTCGGATGAACCAGGGGTGCATACATTCGGCCATGTAACAATTTTTGGAATAACACCCTGGCACTGGGACGAGCCGTGCACGCATAGGTTTGGCGCATGTGATATTTTTTGGAACACCCTGGCACTGGGACGAACCGTGCACGCATACGTTTGGCGCATGTGATATTTTTTGGAATAACACCCTGTCGTCTTTATCTTTGTAAAACGAGCAGGAACATTGAAAAAGTTCACATCTTTCTCAACCAATCAGATTACGAGATTTTAACAGAAGGTATAATAATGTCTCATATTACATCTCCATATTTTAAAAGGGGTCGTAGAAAAGTAAAATACATTTTTTGTAAAGTCATTCTGTCAATACTGACTTTAAATTTCCTTAGAATACCAAGTTTCTTTGATGCTTTGCTGATTATATATTGCACATGGTCGGTCAATCCTCCGCTAGCTGAGATACAGACGCCTAGGTGTTTGTGGAATGGGACTTCTGTTAAAGGCATGTTATTCATAAATATGGAGGGATGAATTGGTTTATCACTTTTCTTATTTATAATCATTGTCGCTGTTTTGTTAGGGTTAAGTTAACAAGCAACGTTAAAGACCAATCATTGATTTGTTTAGATTGCCGTTTATAAGGATTTCACTAAGATCCGGCAAGTCCACTACAACGTAGAGGAAGGTGTCATCGGCAAATAATTGTATAATACAATTGATATCTTCGACAATGTCGTTAATGAAAATTAAAAACAACAATGGGCCTTACATTGAACCCTGGGGAACCTCGGCTGTAGCAGATGTTGAATCAGACTGTTTACCATTGATAACAACTCGTTGAGAGCGATAAAGTAAATAATTTGAGAACCAAGCAAGTACATCTCCTGTTATGCCAAAGTTGTCGAAATTAGAAAGAAGCCCTCAATGGCACATTCGGTCAAACGCTTTGCTAATGTCACAGAAAACCATTCCTATTTCTTAACCTTTACTTAGAGCAGAAATAGATATAAGTTAGTATGTTGTGGAATCGCCGGATCTAAAGACAGACTGACAAGGAGATAATAAAGACTTGTCAATTCAAAAATTGTAAACATATTTGTATAATAGATAATACACATATAGTTGTTTAGGACGGATGAGTCGTCTTTTTTGAACGCAATGGCTTGACAATGTTCCGCCATTCTATAAATACTTATGTTACTATTATGTTTAAGTTTGTCGCAGAGTTTGTTAAAATATTTACTTTTTGAATTACGTATGGCATTTACAAAAGTATTTTGAATTTTCCTGAATTTTACCCAGTCATCACCATTCTGTGATTTACCCAGTCATCACTATTCTGTGATTTACCTAGTCATCACCATTCTGTAATTTACCCAGTCATCACTATTCTGTGATTTACCTAGTCATCACCATTCTGAGATTTACCTAGTCATCACCATTCTGGGATTTACCTAGTCATCACCTTTCTGTGATTTACCTAGGCATCACCATTCTGAGATTTATCTTGTCTTCCCCATTCTGTGATTGAACTAGTCATCACCATTCTGAGATTGACCCAGTCATCACCATTCTGATATTTACCCAGTCATCACCATTCAGAGATTTACCTTGTCATCACCATTCTGAGATTTAGCTTGTCATCACCATTCTGTGATTTGCCTAGTCATCACCATTCTGAGATGTATCTTGTCATCACCAGTCTGTGATTTATCTAGTCATCTCCATTCTGTGATTTATCTAGTCATCACCATTCTGAGATCTACCCAGTCATCACCATTCTGGGATTTAACTAGTCATCACCTTTCTGTGATTTACCTAGGCATCACCATTCTGAGATTTACACAGTCATCACCATTCTGAGATATACCCAGTCATCACCATTCTGAGATTCCCCTAGTCATCACCATTCTGAGGTTTACCTAGTCATCACTATTCTGAGATTTACCCAGTCATCCCCATTCTGCGATTAACCTAGTCATCACCATTCTGGGATTTACCTAGTCATCACCATTCGGAGATTTACCCAGTCATCACCGTTCTGAGATTTACCCAGTCATTACCATTCTGAGATTTACCCAGCCATCACCATTCTGAGTTTTACCCAGTCATCACCATTCAGAGATTTACCTTGTCATCACCATTCTGAGATTTAGCTTGTCATCACCATTCTGTGATTTACCTAGTCATCCCCATTCTGGGATTTACCTAGTCATCACCATTCTGAGATTTACCCAGTCATCACCATTCTGAGATTTACCTTGTCATCACCATTCTGAGATTCACCCAGTCATCACCATTCTGAGATTTACCCAGTCATCACCATTCTGAGATTTACCCAGTCATCACCATTCTGAGATTTACCTAGTCATCACCATTCTGAGATTTACATAGTCATCACCGTTCTGTGATTTATCTAGTCATCACCATTCTGTGATTTATCTAGTCATCACCATTCTGTGATTTACCCAGTCATCACCATTCTGAGATTTATCTTGTCATCACCATTCTGAGATTTACCTAGTCATCACCATTCTGAGATTTACCCAGTCATCACCATTCTGAGATTTACCTAGTCATCACCATTCTGAGATTTACCCAGTCATCACCATTCTGAGATTTACCTAGTCATCGCCATTCTGAGATTTACCCAGTCATCGCCATTCTGAAATTTACCCAGTCATCACCATTCTGAGATTTACATAGTCATCACCATTCTGAGATTTACCTAGTCATCATAATTCTGATATTTACCCAGTCATCACCATTCTGAAATGTTTTAGCTTTGCGATGTAGATGTTTCCTTTGCGATGTAGATGTTTCCTTTGCGATGCAGATATTTCCTTTTTTCTAATCAACTTCCTAATGATATTATTCATCCATGCAGGATCTTACAGTTCATATTTTTATATCATATTTGTTTATTTAAGAGAGCTTTTCCGAATGTGTGTTTCATTTTTAACAGTTGTGGTTCATGATTCGTACTGACATTACGTGTTCATGACATGTTTTTGCTATTGTGTTCAGTGTTGTGTTTTGCTTGAGCGGGGAAATGTACGGCAAGACCGGTTTTTGAACTCTGAACTCTAGACGAACGCTCTACCAATTGAGTTACCTGGTCGCTTGCGATCGCTCCAGTCCACTTCCACGTCGTTCATTGCTCATTCTCCTTAGTTTTGGCCACAGAAGACATCTATTTACAACCCAGGTTAGGGTATCCCCTTGCCAAACATAAACCCAGTACTTGAAACAAGGGCTGATCACAGGCATCAAATGTGGCAGGTGCGGAATATGCACCACCAGACCGGTGTTCGAACACGGGACCCTCCGATAACTAGACGGACGCTAAACAAGTTGAGCTACATGGTCGCCGAAAATCAACCCAGTCCAATTCCGCTAAACAGAATTGTGATAAAGTTCATCACATCCTGTCCGTATTGATAACATGAGCACAGCTAGAAAATACATTATGTTTATATTTATGTATTACTTTTATTTATACATATTATTACCCCATCGGTAAATTTAATGATAATATATGATATATTTAATTTGAAAGATTATATTGTTTTTGAATAATATTAAAACACTTTGCTGGACACAAACTGTCAAAGTAA